ACCTGCCGTCCTGCCTGTCCGGCCATTGACCCAGCGCCTGATGAGCTGTGTGCACACACAGCTCCCCCAGCCATCGCCGCCGCCCCTCGACATGGGAGGGCGCTGCCGACTCCATCTCACAAACGAGAGACGCTGGCTGTCGGGCTGAGTCGCTTGCCCAGAGTCCCAGAGCTGGTGGGCGCGAGGGTCCGGGTGTCAGTCCTCCTGTTGCAAGTCCAGGGCCGCCTTCGCTCCGTATTTCAGCCATGCTCCCTTCTTGCAAGGCTTTGATGGCTGCCGAGCAGTTCATCGTCCGGGTCGCCTCATTCCTCTAACAGGCCCCCTCGGGTCAGTTTCCAGTTTGTGCTGTTACTGCGGAGGCTGCAGCAGGGCCCGGCCCCTCCCTCCGCCCCGTCCGGGGGGCCCCCGGATTCCCAGGAGCACGCACGCTGTCAGAGGCCCCTGGTGCTCGCGCCCTGTGCCGCTGAGCTGAGCGGCCCTTCCAGGGCAGGCAGGGCGCACTCCCCCTTCCCCAGGAGGGCTCCTCCCCACTCGTGCTGAGAACGGCAGTCTTTTAAGTTTACCTATTTCAGTGGCAAATCCAGTATTGGAATTTGTATTTCCTTACTGGTTATGCCATTGAGATTTTTTTATGGACTCTATTTCTCTCATGAATTGTTGAATTATATCATTTTTCTACTGCTCTTTTTGAAAACCAAATTTTAAAAGCTCTTTCTGTTATGAATATTAATCTCTCTGAGTGTTTTTTATTATTAACCTTGAGTTTTAATTCTTGCCCCCATTTCATACACTCTCCTACCCGGAGTGCAGTCACGTTCACTGTTGGTGAGTCTTTGCTGAGAGGATTCACTTGTTGGCGTTGCCGCCGTCGGAAAGTGAGAAAAAGCCGAGACCTGCGTGGGGGTCGGCCCTGGTGCAGGAGCGGGGCGCACGGGGGTTCACAGCAGAATTCGACCTGAATTCTTGGAGTTTGGAAACTACGTGTTTCTAACCTTTTTTTAATTTACAGTGTTTGTAGTTACCGCGGCGGAGCTTTTCACTCTCGAACAGTAAGTGTGTTCCTGGGAAGCTGAAGCGAACAGCCATGCTCTGGGCCGGGCGACCGGTGTCGCTTCAAGTTTGATACAACTGGCTTGTGTACCGCGTCATAATCTCACCTATGTTGGGATTTCTCTCACTTCAAAATGTCTGTGAGTTTTTCACGCATGTTTAAATATTCTTTCTTGTGCTTATGTAGCCCAAGGAAGGCTGTCTGGGCTGCACGTGTTCCCACCGGATGCTAATGAAAGCCTTGCTTTTCTGACGTGGGGAACCACGTTTCAAGAGCACTTTCCAGGTAGAGGAGAGTCTCTCCCTTTTAATACCAAATTCCCTGCTTCATGACCTTTTTACATAGATGACAAAATGCTCTGTCCTCTTGCTCGTCCGAGTCTGAAATACCAAGGAGTGGCGCGTCCGCTGTCTGGGCAGGGGCCAGGAGGGGAGCTGGAGAGCAGGCCTTGCCGCGTAGGAGCAGTTAGCCGTCCAGGACTGAGGGCACCCGGAGCTCTGCCCTGTTCTGCTTTGTGGGGCGCCCACCCACCCCGCGGCTGCAGAAGGACCTGAACAGGAGCCCTGTGATGCAGGCTTGGGGGCGGGGGGTGGGGGTGCGCTTCCCTGGCCCGGGGACCCTGAGCACCGGCGTGCAGGACAGAGGGCCGGGCAGAGCCCAGGGACTGCTGGGTCGTGGCCGGGCCGGGGCCAAGGCGCAGCAGGGCGCCGGCACACGACTACGTGTGCTCGTGGCAGCAGGGGAGTTGCCACCGTCACTTCTGGCGTTTTCATCGTAGGGGAATCTGATTTTATGTTTTATTAATTTCATTCTATCTAGCCATCATTTGTAGAAAGTCAGCCTGGAGTGCTTCTAGGTTGTAGAGTCCATAGCTTAGAGCCCTGCTCAACATACCTCTTACTCCATCCCGTGCGGGCGGTTCCCGCTGCTTCTGTTTGGCGGAGGCACGTGGTTCGTCCTCTGTCCATTCATGCCTGGCTTCCTTTGCCTTTGGTGGCCTGCCCTAAAAACACATGGCGAGAAACGTGTTGTGTCCACAGCGCACTTAACATATTGCATTTACACAGACCACGTTTGTTTGTGTCTGGTAGGACGTGTGCGGCTTTTTCTGTCGTATAAATATGTAATATCCCAGAGCGCGGGATCATCGTAAACCATAGGGAGTGGGAATTGTATGTTTTACCTGACGTTCTTGTTAGACTTTCTTAGAGAGCAGTCTGAATATACTCGTGAACTCATGTTACAGGACTTTTTTTTAACTAATACCGCCCTCCCCCCTGCACCTGTGCCTCCTCAAAAAGAAAACACAGGGATCTGAGAGCCCTTAGAAGCCTTGGTGATGCCGGTGCCCGGTGGCCGCGTGAGTGCTGTTCGTTACGAAAGCAGGGTTTTTCTGGAGACGATGGTAATTGCCTGTTTTTCACATACTGAGTCCCTGTGTCTTTAGTGTTGTTTTCTTTTTTGAAAGATTTTATCTATTTTTGGAGAGGGGGAAGGGAGAGAAACATCAATGGGGAGGTCGCCTCTCGAGCTCCCCGACACTGGGGGCCTGGCCCGCGACCTAGGCCTGGGCCCTGACGGGGAATCAAACCGGCGCCCCTGTGGTTCGCAGGCCGGCGCCCCGTCCCCCAGGCCGCGAGCTCAGGCCGCGGCACGAGTGTCCCCTGGCGTCGGGCCAGCGCTGTGCCGTTTTCCGCCGCACTGCCCCTCTTTCCTCCGCCGGCCTTCTGGGCTTTGGGCGTCCCCTTGCCTCTGAGCTGGCCCTCAGCTGTGGCCTCACGTTTTAGGTGGAGCCATGTTGGGCCCTCGGGCCCTTTGTGTGTACGTGGGCTCTTCAGCCGACGGCTGCCCCAGGCGGTTCTCCTCTTCAAGGACCCCGTGTGGTGACCCCTGCAGCCTCCTCTCCAGGGCTTCGTCGCTTTGGAGAGGGACCCTGGTGTGGGGGGGACGACCGACTTTCGGCACCGAGGACCCCAGAGCAGGAGTCGCCCTGCGCTCCCACCGGCCAGCCTGGGGCGAGCCTGGGGGCCTGGCAGTTCCACACGGACCTGGTCGGTCCCCGCTCCCCCGGCCCGGCTCCTCGTTGCCTTGCGGACGGGCAGGCCCCTTGGGTGCCCCGCGGCCGCCTGGGTGGGGCTGGGGCTGGCGGCCGCACCATCGCAGGGGCTGAGGGGGCCGCTCAGGGCCGCCCGGCGCTCTCCGTGGGGTCCCCGTGGGGGTGGCGGGGGCATGGCCCAGGCGTTGGGTCCTTGCGCTGCGCGCGGTACTTTCAGGCGCCGGCCTGGTGCCTGCAGCCGCTGTCGCACGTGTGCTGTGGGCAGCAGCCTCGTTTGTAAAGGACTGTGTATCAGACTGAGTTCATGTTGGTCATTTACATTTTATTGGCTTTATAATTTTGTTAGTACTTAGTTTGCATATTTATTTTTATTTTAGAGCTCTTCTAAAATACAGAGGGTATTTCTAATTTTAGGTTTATACATATTACGTAGCTTAATGAAAATAGTTTTTCACCCCTGACGGCCATGGGAGTTTTTGTTTTAAAAGATTTAGTGCATTTTAATTACGTTTGACAACCACCGCCAGCTGGAGCGCCATTACTTAGGTCGCACGGCCCGGCCCCGGGTGCGAGTTGACATAGATTTTGTCCCTTTCGGTCCAGTTCAGGATATTTCGGTCTCATGTAAGCAAAATAGGTTGCCTTGAGAAATTTAGTTTAAAAACTGACCCATCTAACAAGAAGCCTAATTTTTTTCCCAAGTAGAACTAAAGATTCTTTTTTAAAGAAAAAATCCCAGGCAGCAGAGTCCAGTGGAAGTCCGCATGCGGGGCCAGTGCGGCGAGAAGGCACGTCGCAGTTCTCTGATGAGAACGTTTGTGCAGACCCCTAGGTGCTGGCTCACACTGCGCCCACTGCGTCGGGGGCCCCTCGAGCAGCTTCCGCGTGGGGTCTGTCTCCGAGCCGTGAGGACGCGCGTGACCGCCGTCGGCAGCGTGTCTTCGAGCCACAGGCTGGCGTGGCTCTGCAGCCCAGGGGGCCGTTCTCATTTGCCTGTGGACACGCCCTTGGAGCTGGCGCCCCAGCTGCGGCGCCATCAGCAGTGAACGGGTCCTTCCTCAGAGCGGCCACAGAGGTGGCAGGGGTCGCGGCCCCTCAGGAGTCCACGCCCACACCAGGTCCTGGTTCAGTGGGCGCCGGGGCAGGGTCTCAGGCAACGCTGCTCCCTCCAGAGTCGGGGAGGAGGGGGTATTTCTTGCTTCAGTGTCATGTCATAAATTCAGATCCTGTCCCTCTAACTCAGGCATTAGACTTAGGACACCTAAGGAGTATCCAGCCCTTGGCCTTGTTCTCTGGGTCCCCATGAAGCCGATGTCCAGGGTGTGTGTCCTGACAGTGTCCGAAGTCTTGGGGACCTGCCCCGCAGTGTCTCGCTGGGCAGTCACATCGCTATTGTCAGCGGCGATGACTTGGTCCGGACGAAGGGGCAGAACTTGTACTGCCTCTAATTCCGTTCTGTGCAGAAGCGGCCAAAGTCCCTGCGTGGGAGTGACAGAGTCTCAGTGAGTGTCCTGCAGCAGCCTGGTTTAGTTAAAGGCGATAGTCGGCATGCGTTATAAATTGTGCCGCGGTCTCCTAGGACTGTTTCTTTTTCTTTTCGGTATTTCCTGCATTTCTGCCTCTGTCCTTGTGGGGAGACAACCCAGTCTAGATCAGCCCTGGTGCACAGGTCGCTGGAGCGGAACCCGTGGATCCGCGGGCGCTCGTTGGTTCTGGGCCCAGAGCCCAGAAGGCGCTGCTTGGTGATGGCAGGTTTCCCATGAAAGTCTGACTTTATCCAGGGGAAGGTTTTATATGTCTTCCCCTTTGGACTCTTTTTATTGATTTTTGATGTTCACTTTGCCTTCTCTCGCAGCGATGATCTGGTAAATTGCTTCTGTATTTTATCGACAGCTGACATCATCTCAACTGTTGAATTTAATTACTCCGGAGATCTTCTTGCAACAGGAGACAAGGGTGGCAGAGTTGTTATTTTTCAGCGGGAACAAGAGGTCAGTAATTTACAACCCACACGCCCAGAGACATGCGGGAGCCTTCTTGGGTGCTTACAAGGAGAAAAGCAGGGCTGTCTCCTCCATCTCGGAGGCCCCTCTAACCAGGCAGTCTTTTCTTCCAGAACCATGTCTGGGTGGTCTGTGCGCAGCACACACTGTCAGGCCGTAGAGCCCCAGTCGGTGCCCTCGCCTCTAGGGGAGGGGGAGGGTCCTTGCCCTGCCCACAGGCAGACACGGGGTTGGGAGGGTCAGATGGAAGAGGGTGCAGGGGCTGCGTTGTTTGTTCTCAGCCTGGAATTCATCAGAGGGGCTGTCCACAAACTCCCTTCACCAACCCCAGCCTGTGGCCCGGGACCCTGTCGGGGTGGGGGTGTCTGGCCCCTCTTCCTCCTCGCCCCCGGAGGGTGGTGCTGTGGGTGCAGGAAAGGAACGCGTCCTCTGAGCCCAGGCCCAGGAGGGCCCACAGGTGAGTCTCACTCACCGGTGCCAGTCGTAGGTCAGGCCCCTTCGGGGCGGCTAGGGAGAGAACCCCTCATTTCTGGCTCGGCGTGGAGGGCGCGGGAGCGGCCTGGCCTCGGCCGCCCCTTCGCCCCCAGGCGCTCACCGGCAACCAGGAGAGTGCCGGGGCGGAGCGGGTCCCGTGCCCTGCCGCTTCTCGGGCCGGGCCGGGCCCCCCCGCCCCGCCCGCAGACTGGGCTCGCTTTTCCCCACGGGCGCACGACAAGGCCCCCTTGGCCCTCCTGTCTGTTTCCTGGCCGATCGGTCACCTCCCGGCTCTGATCTCTAAGGGTCTGTGGCAAAGCTTGGGGGTGCAGGCTCCTGAGCCCTTGTTCTCTCCCAGGGAAGGCTCTGGGGCACACGTGCTGCCGGGGGGCGTCGGGCCGCCCTGGCTTCCGACGGAAGGGCCAGTTGCCTGGTAAATGCGGACGGTCCACAGGGCGCCAGCATCTCCTTGCTCAAATGTATCTGCTGAGCTCTAGTTTTCATTGTGGCCATGTAAATTTGAAAAGGTTTTACACGCTAACTCTCTGATTCGGGTGGTGAGAATTCTTTTGTGAGTGTTATATACATACAGTCATCCCTCCTCAGTCTTGGCAGGACCGTGGCCAGCCCGGTAAGCTCCCGGTGGAGCTCGTCTGGGCGCCGCGAGCCGAGGCTCACGCAGCTGGCTTTTCCGTTACGGCCCTGATGCCTCATTGTGCTGGTTTCAGGTGTTCAACAGCGAGTAGACTTTCAGATACCCAAAAACATCCAATTATTTCACTCATTAAGAGCAAGGACTGACAAAATACGGGTCTCCTTTATTTTTAGTTATGAAATATTTAATGTTTTATAGAAAACAGCATTGTCCACAAATGAAGACTTCAGAGACGAACATAACTGTGCGTGTGAACCCACCACCCAGATCCCACTTGTCTTTAGAGGGAAGAAAGGCCTCGGTGTGGGGCTGGCACCCTGCCGTCCCCCGGGGCTGGTCGTTGCTCTGTGACAGCGGCCACCTTCCCGAGCCTGGGTTCTGCTCGTGCCGCAGCGCATGGCGTTGTTCTGTGTGCTGGGGGCTGGCAGGGGAGGCCTCGGGTGGCAGGTCTCTGAGGGGTCTCCCCCGCCGCTTGTGTCGCAGCTGCTGAGCGGCGCCCGGGGAACGGCGGGCCCCTCCCGCTGGCGGCCAGGCCCCTCCCTGCGGCGGGCAGGCTCTGCCTGGTCACTTCCGTGGTCCCGCTCTCGCAGCACCCCCCCTCCCACCCCCGTCCCGGGGTGGGGAGCGTCAGCCCGGCCAGCAGCTGCAGCAGGCGCCCGGCTGTCCTGGGACCCTGGCGGGTGACAGCAGAGGGGCTGGGCAGCGTCTTTCTTACGGTTGCGTTGACTCAGGAGCTTAATGTTGAGCGTCATCTGTGGGGCTGTTTGTTGACTTGGGGTTTTGGGTTTTTTTTTGTTTTTGTTTTTTTTTTTTGAACTTTTAAAGATGTGTGCGGTCACTTGATGTTCATATTGGTTGTACTAACATTTTTCCTGCAATGTGCTTGTTCATTAAAACAGTTTCATGTTTCCTTGCAGAATAAAAGCCGTCCTCATTCTAGGGGAGAATATAATGTTTACAGTACCTTTCAAAGTCATGAACCAGAGTTTGACTATTTGAAAAGTCTAGAAATTGAGGAAAAGATTAATAAAATTAGGTGGCTACCACAACAGAATGCTGCTCATTTTCTACTCTCTACGAATGGTAAGAGCTTTTGTTTTTAATGGCTGTTTGCTTTAGAATTTTAATTTTCTGTGTGTAGGTTCCTTTTTATTTTAACCTGTTTCAGAAGTTATTTCTGCTTTAAACTTTGGCGGGGGGAGGGTGCTCACTCACTAGGAAGCAAGTGATGGGCTGACACAGCCTGCACACACGCGCCCGCTCTGTCCCGCGGCGCCCACTCACAGGGGGAGGAAGCCCCGCAGGCGAATGAAGCGCCCACGGCGCCCCCCGGGGGGCAGCTCTGGCGTCCTGCTCGCGCAGGTGACGGGCCTGCGCCGCGGTCAGAAACCCGCGGAGCACTCTAGTGTAGCTCCCAGCCAGGAGCAGCACGGTGTGGTTTTTCCTCTAATATGGAGAGTGAGGTTTTTATTTTCAGATAAAACTATTAAGTTATGGAAAATAAGTGAACGGGATAAAAGAGCAGAAGGCTATAACCTGAAAGACGAAGACGGACGACCTCGAGACCCGTTTAGGATCACAGCGCTGCGGGTATGCGCTCGTTCCCTCACACTCTCGGTTCTTCCCGTTCGGTGGTTGGCGGTGACGCCCACGTCGGCTGTGGGCGGCCTCCTTGGTTCAGAAAGTTATGTGTGATACTGCGGTCATTACGTGTATACACGTGTTAGAAACGGGATTTTTCATATTCACACAAGAGCAAAAGTTACACTTTATCTTCAGAAAATGCGTACAAGAGAAAGGCTCCCGCAGAACCCACAGCAGGAGTCTTTGCACGTGTACGGACTGCCTGTCACTGTGCAGGGGCCGGATGGCACGTGGGAGGGCTGACCGCCGGGAGGAGCGCAGGACACCGCCCGGGCGCAGAGCGCCGGGCGCAGGCTGAAAGCGGAGCTCCAGGCCACGGAGGCGCATCTGTGGTGGCCAGAGGCGGACCTCCTCTGAGCCGACCGAGGCGGGGCTGAGCGCTTCAGAACCCTTGCCTGTCGGCCTTGAGCGCCGCTGCCGTTTTAGGGGGCTGCGTTCTCCACTCCCTCTGCCGTGTCCCTGGCACGGTGTGCCATAGCCGTGTTTCATCAGTTCTGGTACTTAGGGTTTTTTCACATTGTTAGTGTGGATGGAACTGAATAAAACGTCAAGTCTCAATGTCTTGTACTTGGCCTGCTGGTGCTTACCGTGGATGGCACCCTAAATGTGGCAAGGGAGGTAGACCACGCACCTTGTGGCCAGGCGGGCCTCCCCGTGGGGACGGGAAGCGCCGCTGTGGGCACAGAGGGCCGCCGGCGCGGCCACCCGGGTGTGGGAGGCGGGGCGCGCCCAGGGGGGCGGGGGCGGGTGAGCGTGGCCGAGGAGCCACGCAGGGTGGGACGGTCACCTGGAGACCGCTCGGGTCGGGGGCGTCGCCCTGTTCCCGGGGGGGCTGAGAGCAGGCAGCTGTGTGCCGTACCCCAACGGAGTCTGTGGGGCCCTGATTGGAAACGAGCGGCGGTCCCTACGGTGACTGCGGGCGCCCCGGCCGCTGCTTTCACGTCCGCGGCTCGTGGTGGCGTGGGAGGTGTGTCAGTGACCGTGACACCAGGCCTCGGCCACTGCACGTGGCCACTCCCGTAACCCGCCGCCCTGAAGGAGAGCAGCGGCATGGCGCCGGCCAGTGCGCGGCCCCGCCTCCTGCCCCGGCCTGTCCCCAGCGCTCTGCCCTCCCCCTGGGCCTGCCGCCCCCGGGCCTGTGGGGGGGCCGCCTCGGTGCCCCTCGAGGCTGCTTGTGTGGGTGTGGCCTGACTAAAAGTGGGGGCACTGGTGGCCCGTGAAGCACGTGAGGAGAGCGCTGTCCCCGGAGCTGCTCTGATCTCTCGCAGGGTGAGGTCGGAAGTCGCAGGCCGGGCAGCCGCCCTGACTCCCCTGCGAGTTCAGGGCTGTGCCCGAGTCCCTGACTCCCTCGCTGACGGTTCACGGTGGACTCGCAGGCTGTCCAGCCCGACCTGGGTTAGAGAGAGAGAACCGTTGCGCTTCGTAAAATGTCGTTCTCCTGAATCGTTGTAGCGTCAGAAGGGACGGGTAACCGTGCCCGGTGGCCCTGTGCCCCGACGGGGGGCAGGTGAGCCGGGGGCAGGCGGCCCTGTCCCGAGCCGCGGAGGCTGGCACCGCGCCAGGGGAGGCTGTGTGGGGTCGGTGCGCAGCGGGCTGGAGTGAGGGGAGGCTTTCTGTGCGCATCTCCCCAAGAATTTTGGCCAGAGAAGATTGAATTGAGAGATTTCCTCCTGGTCGTCTTAGGCATTCCCTTTTGGGTTTGAATTACAAAAAGAATACAATCACACATCTTCTGTTTCCGTTTTAAAGTCCCTCCTTTTCGCTGGGTGTCCGCGGTGTTGGACGTTTCCCTTCGGTCGCAGGTGCACCCTGTCGCCCACAGCAGCGCCTCCCCACCCCCGGGCGGTGACCCTTGCTCTCGTCCTCACAGGCTCTCTTCCCCAGTTTCTGTGTGGGTGTCCTGTCCCCAGGAAGCCTTCGCCGGCCTCAGCTGCTCGTCCCAGAGCCGCGGGGTCTGACCCCTTTTAAAAACCTCTTACTGGAGCAAACGCCTCTGCCGCTTTAGTGAGCAGCCCCGTGAACACACGAGCGGCCAGCGCCAGGCTGAGTGAGGGGCCTGCCCAGGGCCCCTCCTGTGCGCCCTCCAGCCCCGCGCCCTCCCCGCTCACCCTGCGCGCGGGGCAGTGGCCACCTGTGGAGGCAGAGGGGAGGTCGGGCCCCCGGCTGCCGGGGTGGGGCAGATGGGGCGGGTCCGCCTGAGCCCCGGGCGGCTTGTGGCCGCGGGGACGGAGGGGACAGCGACCCCACATTGTGAGGCCTCAGGGCCCTGGAGGCAGCTGGTTTAGGTGCCAGGTCAGCCTTCTCTTCCACGAGGCAGTGGCAGCCAGGAGGGGCAGCCCGGGCATTACCTGTGCAGAGCGGTCACCCGGGGATGGAGGTCTGTCCCTTCTGTTTTCTACTCTGTGCTCTGACTGCGCACTGCTGTGATCTTGTTTTGAATTCCTGTTTCCTTCCGTTTTTAGGTCCCAATATTGAAGCCCATGGACCTCATGGTAGAAGCAAGCCCACGACGAATTTTTGCAAACGCTCACACATACCATATCAATTCTATTTCTGTAAACAGTGATCATGAAACGTATCTTTCTGCAGATGACCTGAGGATTAACCTGTGGCACTTAGCGGTCACAGACAGAAGCTTCAGTATCCTTCGCCAGGCAGGGCCGCCTCCGGGCTTGCCCTCCGACAAAGAGCTCTCTGTGCGGGCGTCTGTCCTTGCTGCCCCGGAGCCTGGGGTGGGTGTCCCAAACCACGCAGCTCGCCTGCGGGAGGGGCTCCCCCTGCGGGGCAGAGCTAAGTCCCCCGCCTTCCTGGTTGACAAGGGGGCGGTTTTAAGTAGTGAGCACAGGAGAGGGCCAGGTTGCCCCGCCCGCCCCCCCCCCAGCCCCCGGCTAAATTCGGTAATAGGAAATACTGGCCTTGGTTAGAGTGATGTCTAATTACCCAACCCAAGAGCCCACTGATCATGGACGAGTTCTGTTTTAGAAGATGCACTATTTAAGGAATAATCAAACTTTCATCTTTAAGTGATATATGCTATTATTCTTAGAGTAAAAATCTAAATATTACTGGCTACTCCCACATTTTTAAAGGTGCTGGTTTCTCCAGAAAATGGGGGGCCTGTGAAACGTACGCACCAAGTGGCGTCAGGCAGATCTCTCCGCGCTGCGGAGCCCCGGCCGGCCGACTGGGGTGACGCCGGGACCGGGGGGCGGGGGCCCGCCCACGCTCTCACCCGGGGGAATCTCGTGAGAGGGAGTGGAAGCGACTGTAGCTCGAGCACCTCACGTGCAGCTCTGTCAGCGGCCGCCCCCAACTGGACTCAGTGGCGCAGTCCCCTGGGGCCGCGGCGGGGCCGTCGGAGGAGCCCTCTGGCCCCCCGTGCCCGTCTGGCCCCCCACGCTCTTCCTTCTCCAACCGGGCGAAGCTTCCCGGGGCGTGATGCCTGCGTGTGCCTCTGCCCCCGTGTCCCCTTCGTTCCCCTTTGAACCTCCGATTCTCAGTCCCTCTTCTCTCTGAGTAAAACTGGAGCGATACAGAGGGAGGGAGAGTCTCCCTTCGTGCAGCCCTGCAGAGCGCGCCCGTGGCGAGGCGTCTGGCTGCGCGCAAGTGCCCATTTTAAAAACACCAGCTCGCCCCCCGCACGGTGATGGTGCAGGTCCCAGTGGCCGGGAGGGTCGGCAGGCCCAAGGCCAGCTCAGTGCCCGCGGCATCCCGCCGCCGGCCTCTGTGAGCCACTCATCCTCTGTGAGCCACTCGTCCTCGGCCAAGTCGAGGCTCTAGAACAGGCCCCTTGGGTTGTAGCAAAGGAAAAGAGGGCGGCACAGCTCCTGGCCCGCTGCCCGGGGCAGCGCGGCCCCCCGCCATGCGCCTCATTGTGTTATAGCGGCTTGTGACCACCTTCCCGCGTCGGCAGGCGTGCGGACTTCTCACTGCGGGACTCGTAGTACAAGCGGTCCTTTGTTTTATGTGCTGCTCATTGGAGCCGTGGATTCCTATTAGGTTGATATCCATTTTTGTGAGTATTTCTTTACTGCCCTTTGTCATTTTTTTCTCCTCCTGGAAGCTCGCCTTTTTCCCCTAAAGAGCTGTGAGAACTCTTAACACCTAAAGGGCTTGTTTCTGCGGTCCTGTCTTTCATTGCTTTTTGGAAAACTGGTCCCACATCCATGCCTCAGACGCCCTTCCCTGTGCCGAGACGAGAGAACAAATACTGCCTCACACATAGTTGCCTCTGTGACCACTTTCAAAAGACCTATCTGCTCGCATGACAGAGATGGGGACAGGGGGTCCTCGAGGGATCTGGGAACACGCGAGTGGGGTTATTCCTGGGTGAGCGTGGGCTTGCGTGCAGGCGGGTGCTCACTCCCCTCACCTGCGCCTTCGGAGCCGGGCAGCCTGTACGGAGGCCCCTCAGGACGTCCACGGTGGCAGCGCTGCAAGTGTGCGCGCGCGCATGCGCATCCCCTGGCCCGTCACCCTGGCCTGGTGAGGGTGTCGGCGCGGGCCCTCTTACCAGAGCGGGCGCACCGGGAGACCTGCGTGTAACTGCCCGGCCTGGAGCTTATCTCCGGTCCCCGCCGTGGGGGCGGCCCCGCCCCGTGGCTCGCGGACTGGCTGCACCACCCGGCTCTCTGCCTTAACCGCACCCGCAGACATTGTGGATATCAAGCCCGCGAACATGGAGGAGCTGACGGAGGTAATCACCGCAGCCGAGTTCCACCCGCACCAGTGCAACGTGCTTGTGTACAGCAGCAGCAAGGGCACCATCCGCCTGTGCGACATGCGCTCCTCCGCCCTGTGCGACCGGCACTCGAAGTGTAAGTGCCGCCAGCTGGAGTGGCTCCTTCAGCCCTGCATCCAGACGCGGGGCTGGGCACAGAGGCCACGGGCGCTCCTCTCGCCCCCACACCCAGCGGCCACCTCGGCCACACTGGTCGTGGGCTGTTGCTGCAAAGCAGGGGCCATAAGGCCTGCTTCCCGGAGGCACTGCAGGGCGCGGCCAGCGCATGTCCGCTCCGCCCAGAGTCCCGACGTGTCGGCAACCGGGCCTGGCCAGCAGCCGAGAGCCGCGGGCTGCCTCCGCCCTGGGCCCGCGTTGCTGGGATGCATGTGCCCTGGGGCCCACCTCTGCCATCAGGCTGCGCTGGACTGGTGGCCAGTCCTTGGGAAAGCCTGGCACCCTGACTTTCCTTCTAGGTCAGGAGAGTGCGGTTTCGTTTCCTCTTCGCCGGTAGGTGGGCCCCACTTTATAGAAATTAGCGTGCGTGTCAGGGGCGTGATGTATACTGCGGAGACGTCACTGGCGGGTGCCGACGCACCCGGAAAGCCGTCCTGCTTGAGCCGGTGCCTAGACGTGCACTCTGGGCGGTCAGGAGGCACAGGCCGGCGTTGGTGTGCGGCCCCGCCCTGCTTTGCGCTGTGTCCTGGAGGCTGAAGGGTGTGCAGGGCCCGTGCTCCTCGTGGAGCCCTGCGGGGAGGGTGAGCTGCGGGCCGCCGGGCCTCCGTCTCCAGGGCGCGCCTGTGGTGCACGGTGTCAGCTCCAGGGTTGGTTTTGCCAGCAAAGTGATGTTTGAATAAGTGCTTGGTATTGCCACCAGCTTGCTTAAAATTCACATACAGAGCTAGCAAACGTACAGATTCCCTTTTTAAAAAATTATTTTGAAGGCAGCTATAACTGAAAAGCCCTGCCGACCTCCTTGCCCAGGGCTCGGGGGCAGGGCACGGCCTCCACAGTGCGCGGATGGAAGGCCGTGGACTGGCTACTGCGAGAGTGGAACTCGGGGCCAGGCAGGTCTGCCAAGGAGGAGGAAGGCCTTCCTGCAAGTAACAGCCCCGCCTTGTCAGAAGACCCTGGCCCTTGAGCAGTGAAGCCGACCTCCCGGCAGGTGGGCGTGCAGGCCAGTGGAGCCGGGCCGCACTGTGCCCAGGTGGAGGCGGTGGTCACGCAGCCGGGGTGGGGCGTGTCCGCAGCGGCCCCGAGTGCAGCGCCTGCGTCCTCCTAGGGTGCCACTGCTCTCTGCCAACGGCGGGGCCAGGGCCCAGTGCCACAAGGACACAGGGGCCTGTGCAACGATGGCCTGGACAGGGTGCCGGCCCAGGACCCACGCCGGGGGGTCCCGGGGGCTTTTCCAGGCAGCTGTGGAGGCCTTGCCCACGGAGACGCTGGCCCGAGTCCGGCGCTGTGGGGCTCGCGCTGCGGATGCCGTCCCTCACCGCCCGCCAGCACCGTGGGGCCTGCCTGGGCGCTCTGGGCGCAGCCGTCAAGGCCAGGAGCGCGTGGAGGCTGGGCGCTGGAGCCGCGCCCCCCGGAGTGTCGGGGGGCTCCTTCCGGCAGGGGGGTCGCGGCGATTGGTTGTCTGGTTTCTAAACAGAAGCCAAAACATTGTGTTTTTTAGTTTTTGAAGAACCTGAAGATCCCAGCAGTCGGTCTTTCTTCTCAGAAATTATCTCCTCCATCTCCGACGTGAAGTTCAGTCACAGCGGTCGGTACATGATGACCCGGGACTACCTGTCAGTGAAGGTCTGGGACCTCAACATGGAGAGCCGGCCCGTCGAGAGCCACCAGGTGAGACTCCTGGGCAGCGGCGCGCCGCCCCGCACGCCCGGCGCTCCCTAACCGCCCTGTGGTCTCGTTAAGGTCCACGAGTACCTTCGGAGCAAGCTCTGCTCTCTGTACGAAAACGACTGCATCTTCGACAAGTTCGAGTGCTGCTGGAACGGCACGGACAGGTGAGCCTGCGTCGCACCTGGGCGCCACCCACACTCACCCCTTCGGTCCCCTCGGTCCCGGCACGCAGCTCCCAGGGACAGACAGGGAGCTGGGCGCGCTGCATGGGGACAGTGGCGGCGTGGCGTCTCAGACCGTGTGTGTGTCGGTGACAGCCCCGGGGAGGGAACCAGGGTGCCCGAGCGATGTCCCCTTGCTCATAGCTCCTTCAGGGGTTAGACAGGAAGCTCAGTGCTAGGTTTACATTGGCGGTTTTTAAATGCTGAATGAACGGTAACTTCTTCTTTTTCACTCTCCAAGCTGAGTGAAGAGGAAGTGGGGAGGCCCCTTGCTCGTAAGTGTGCGGGCGGCCGCGGCCCAGGCTGCCTTTGCTGCTGGAGGGAAGCAGGGGCTATGGGTCGTCGCTTGGACAGAGAGGTGGCGGCCAGGGCGGCCCCCCGAGTGGATTCATAGCGAGACAGTTCTGGCACCTGGACGGTTTATTTTGTGCACGTCCTTCAGATACGGCGACAGTGCTGAGCCGCGTCTGTCACGTCACACGAACGCCCCTGTCCCAGACGGTGGCAGGGTGCAGCCTCGCGCATCTCTAACAGCTCTGCGTGGCACAGCCCTCCCGGGAGGAAGGGGCTGGGGGGCGGGCGAGCTGAGGAGCCCCCTGCACAGACGCCGGGGATGGCGCCTTGACACCCCCACCACCTCACGCTCAGCCGGGCTCGCGGGGGGACAGACCTCCCAAGGGCCGGGGCGCCAGGACCCCGCTGCCCCAGCCCGCACAGCCCGGGAGCGGGACCGCCAGCGGGGCCCTGAAACGGGGCCCGCGTGGTCGCAGGAAGGCTCCATCTGCGCTCGGGCACTGTCCCAGGGGGACCCATCAGAAGCCTTGGCTGCAGTGGGCGATGATCCGGAGGCTCGGGACCCCGGCCTGCCCCCCTCGCAGTGACGAGTCTGTCTGCACTGGCTGCGCGTCTGTCCCGAGGGCACGGTGTGCAGGGCGTCTGCAGGAGCAGCCAGCCTCGGGTCGGGCCGTGCACCCGCCGGCAGACCGCCGTGCCTGCCCTCGGTGTCTGACGGGCAGTGGCTGAGGACACAGGACCCCTGGGTCTGCATGGCCCCCCAGCCCCACGGGAGTGACGCAAGGGGCCCGGGCAGGCGCAGCCGCACTGGCAGTGGGCCACTTCACAGCAGCGCCCACGGGGCTTTCCCAGGGCACGGCGAGCCAGCCCGCACTCGGCCCCTGCCGGCCCAGCCCTGGCCAGCGGGCCCGGCGGGCAGCACTCGAGCGCCATGCGGGCAGCCCCGGGGTGGAGCGCCTCTGCGGGGGCGCGCCCCAGCGGCAGGCGGTACCGGCGTGCTCTGGCGGGAACACCGCGCCGCCGGGAGGACCCACGCCAGCCGAGACCGCGGGACCTCCCTCCAAGAACACAGGCCGTGCGGTCCAGCAGCACAGGACAGACAACAGCGATGCCGGGAGTGTTGGGGCTGAAGGAAGGAGCCGAACCTGAACAGGCGCCACCAGAGGAGCCTGGCCTACGAGACGGCAGGAACCTCAGCAGAGCTTGTCAGAGTGACTGAGCTGCAGCGGAACGTCCCGTGGGAAGTGAAGCGCAGGCCCCCGCAGCGGCTCAGGGAACTCAGGCAGCCACCTGCCCGGGCCTGTGCTTGGGGGCCTGTGTGGCGTTGGGGTCTCCGACAGCGGGGTCTGAGAACACGCGACTCTTTGGGGCATAGCAAGCACAGGGTGGGGCACCTCGATTTCGAGTGATTATGCCGCAGGGGACACAGTGGCATTTAACTGTCAGCTTGTGGGTACATGGGCACTTCCATTCTTTTTCCTTTTTGGTACATCTGAACTGATGCAAAATCCATTGAAATCACCTGTTCAAGGAACCTCCAGAAGCTTTCCAGTAGTGTTGACGTGTTCCTTGTTCTCACAACACTCCCCTGCTTTTTTGCCTGGAAGCTTCCATTTGGGGGTGGGGTGAAGGGCAGGGCCCCTGTCCCTGGGCCAGGCTGCGAGCGGCCCTGCCTCGTGGGAGCCAGCAGCCCAGCAGGGAGCCCATGGACGCCCGCCTACATCTGGCCGCATGCCCACAGCCACGCGAAGCCCAAGTAGCTGGGTACGAGCTTTCTCCCAAGTGGCTCTTTCTCGAGTGCAGCGTACACGGGGTTAATCAGACACTGACCTAGGCGCCCACAACCTGGACCAGCCCTGACCCGTGTAAATGAACGGGGGCTTCCCTCTCATGGCGCCCTGCACGTCGGGGGGCCAGAGGACGTGGGCATCGGAGCAGAAGCGGGGAGAAGTGGCGAAGGCTGTGGTCTCGTCCGCCAGGAGGAACCGGGCTGTGTGGCCCACCCGTCCCAGGCAGAGCTGGGCTCCTCCTGCAGCCAGGGCTCCAGTCGCGGCCGTGTCTGCTGCCAGTCAGCACTCTGCGCTCGTTCTAGACAGGCCAGAGGTCTGCACCAGTGCCACAGAAGCGCAGTGCGGGAGGCGTGACTGCCTGGAGGCCGTCAGAACTGATCTGGAGCAAAGGCACACTCACCTGGGGTTCGCTGCAAAGTGAGCCTCCGTCTCCCACACGTCTCCTGGCGACCGTCCCTGACCTTGTTTACTTGCTGCTTCATGTGAAAAGACTTTGAAATTAATGACTTTATAACTGCATTCTTTGGTCCTCTGTAAAAGACGCTACAGCGACATTAGACTAGTGTCTGTTGAATGTGCACATGAGTATCAACTTTGAATCACTGACACAGCACAGAAGTCAGGCTTGAAAATAAATCACCCTGTTGCTCATGACCAGGACAGGTGATACTTAGAGGGTATTTTTACCTTTTTTGAAAATATGTCTATGTAATTAAAAAGCACGAACCCATTGCTTTTTACTCTGTAATACTTGTTTTCGCTGACGTGATCCATCTGCTCCGCGCGTTTCCCCCCGGCCATGGTTGCGCTGTCTCGTCTCCGAGACTTGCTCTGTGCTGTGGTGCCGCGCTGTGCCTGCTGGCTCACCTGCCCCTCTCTCTGTTTGAACAGTGCGATCATGACGGGGTCCTACAACAACTTCTTCAGAATGTTTGACAGAAACACACGGAGGGACGTGACGCTGGAAGCTTCCAGAGAGAACAGCAAGCCTCGTGCCAGTCTGAAGCCGCGGAGAGTATGTCCAGGTGGGAAGCGGAAGAAGGACGAGATCAGCGTGGACAGTCTGGACTTCAACAAGAAGATTCTACACACGGCTTGGCACCCTGCCGACAACATCATCGCTGTGGCGGCCACCAACAACCTGTACATATTTCAGGACAAGGTCAACTAGGCAGCGCGAGGCGGCGTCTCGTCTTGCATGGACGACTAAGCCGGCCGCTCCTGTCGGGGGAGGGGTGCCCTCCCTGTCCGGGAGCGCAGGGGCGCGCCGTTCCCGCCCGGACAGGAGCCCACACGCACACGGCCGGGGGACCACGGGAGTCGCTGCACGTGCGACGTGCCTGCTCGGGGCAGACTGATGGACAGAGCTCAGTAAAGGCCATTACTCACAATAAATGTATTTATTTAAACCTGAGCCGTCCTTTCCCGTTTATAGACCAAAAAATGAACACCCAGCGGGACACTTGATCCCTGTCTCTCGTCCCTCTGCTGGCTGACTGGGCTCTCAGGGGCAACTGTGCCGACCTCCCGGGGCCACCGCCAAGCAGGCTCGGGCAGCCGGACCCCCGCACACCTGTATCTTCCGTCACGCCTCGGGGCGTGGCCACCCAATAAAGGCCACGCATTGTCCCAAGTGTTTTTAATCCAGACCTCAGGATCGCCTTTTTCTTTGAGCACGTGTGAGGAAATTACACAGAATTGCGCTTCAGCGTAGCTAGAACGCTTGTCCCTTGTTGGCGGGGTGGGGGCCCTGTGCAGCGCTGCGCGTGCCTGTCCCTGACCCCTGGCTGTGCTTGTTTCTGGAGAAAGGGTCCGCCCGACACACCAGCCAGGCCCGGGGACGCCTCAGCTCGGGTGGGAAGGCGCGGGGCGCGGGTCTGCGCGGGCTGCGGTGCCGGGGGCGCAGGCTGTCGCCGCTCGCTCGCAGCGCGTGCCGGGTCTTGGGCTGCGCTTCCAGCCCGCAAAGTTACGCAAGTAACAAGGGCGCCAGTGGCACCCCCAAGGCACCGCCACGGGGTGCGGCCCCCACCTGAGCCCAAGCCAGTCAGGGTCCAGGGCTCACACCTGGAACTGGAGCCGTGTTTTCCGCGCCGCTCAGCGCGCCGCCCGGGACGTGCCTGCGCTCGGCATCAGCCCACAGCGAGGCAGCTCAAACCCGAACCGCCCACGCATGAACATCAGGTCGACCAGCCACGGGCGCTCACGTCCACCAGCTTCACCTCCCGGCGCCCGGGCTGCCCGCCCTCCCCAGCGCTCCGCGTGGCTGCACCCGCTCGTCCCTCGGGCTCCCTGGTTGCTCCTTGGCCCTGGCGGAAGGGGAAGCATCGCGATGGTCCGGAGAGCGAGCGACAGAGACGGCCCGGCCCCCAGCCTTCCCACGTGCCGCTGCGCCCTCCCGCCCGGCAGCCGGCCTCGTTCCTGGCGCTGTCGCCGTCTGCCTTCGCACACACGAGGTGTGTGTATTCCTATGGCTTTTCACAGTCAGTGGCGTGGCCCCTCCTGACACTCTCAGGTCCACCACTACGCACCCTGGACTCAGCGGGCTCCTCGCCTCTCCCAGTGGGGCTGCTGGGGCAGCTGACCCGACACCCCAGGGTCCTCGTTGCAGGCCGACCGCCCTGACGGCTGGCCCGCCCTCCCAGGCAGGCCTCTGCGCCCGAGGGCAGGGACACTGGCCCAAGCAGCCCAGCAGCACCTCCTCGAGACTGGCCGTCAGAGGGCTGGGCTGCTGGACAATGGTCACTATTTCCTGTCCACTGGGCATCAGCTCAGAACACAGTCAGGGTGCTGCCCCTACCCACCCCCCAACCCTCGCCGCCTTCTGCGAGAAAGCAGGCGGCGCCCCCTTGTGGAGCCGCCAGCCTGTCCCGCCCGCTCCTCCGCCGGGAGCTGCGGCGGCAGCGTCGTCCCCTCCCGGGCAGCGCTGTGTGGCCTTCGGCGGGATCCCTGGGCACACACCACTTCAGGGTTTGAGGTCTGCTCAGGGCAAATGCCCTGACGTGGGTTCCAGGTCACAAGACCGGTCCGATGTCCCTTGTTTGGGTCTGCCCAGGGTCACTCCAGGGAGCTGTCCCCAGTGCGCCTTCTGTGGCAAAACCAGTGTCGCGGCACAGCTGCAGACAGTCTGGGCAATGCGCGCATCTGGACAGGAAACTGCATTTTAAAATGCCAGTCGCTTTTTAATTTTAAATCCACAACCGGTTGGGATATCTTGTGCTGCATATTCCTATCAACAGTACAAAAGGCTGCTTGCAAAAGCTCAATTACGACGCTGTCCTCCCACCTGAGACACGTGCACCTTCACGGACGCCGTGACGGACACGCAGCCCGGAGGCCTTGGCCCACTCCCCCGAGCGCTCGGCGGAAGCCCTCCGGTGGCGGGGCCGTCGACCTGGCCCCCGAGGGAAGGCTCCGACAGCAGGAGGGGTGCCAGCCCCGAGGACCCCAGCCTGGCCTGCACGTGCCGAGGGCAACCCCAAGGCTGGGGTACCAGACGAGCCGAGGGTCAGGCCCCATCGCGCCCATGAAAGGCGCACGCTTGCTGAGTCAGTGAGACCGCAGACGCTTCCAGAGGGGATGTGACGAACTCTGGTGCCACGGAGCCGGCCACCTCCAGCGAGAGGGCTGTGGGGCCCACTCCTTCCAAAGTAACTGTTTCAGTATCAACCAAGGTTTTTCATTTTTAAAAACGGAAACGTTTATTTTAACACGACTGCATTTAGTGTGGAAAAGTGGAACAAATACACAACAGCATGTAAACAGCCCGCCAGAAGGGCAGCTTCTGAAGAGCCACACTGTGGGGAGAAGGAAGAACTCGGGTCACGGAGAATAGGCCCAGCTTAAATCAAAAAGCTTTTATGCTGTTTCAACCATAGAATCACATGGAAATACAGTCATCTGAAGGATTTGGCGAAGATTTATGTCTTCCTATTTCCAGTCTTGTAGACACGTGTGCTTAGGAGGAAGCCAACTCTCAGAGCACGCAACACACACAGAAGGCCAGCCTCAGCCCAGGCACCCGGCACGGAGCCAGGGAAGGGTGTGGCCACCAACAGCCGCCGCCCAGCCGCGTCCAGGCCTCCCGCCGCGGTGTGGGCGTGAGGCCACCTGTTCACTTGGTGTAAGTCCTTTATGGAGTCATTCTAGCAACAGTATTCACTCTTTCAAAATAGGGAGAATTTTAACTGAATTAAGGTTACAGATCATTTTTCTTAAAACACTACATACGTCCTGACTAGCATGGTAAAATTATTTATGCTCAGGTATTTATAACATCAAAGAAAACCTGCCACCACGTTATTCCAGTAGGGTTAGCGTGACATGCTCGCTGGCAGACCCCGCGGGCACGGCTGGGTCCAGGTTCGCGCGGCCGTAGTGGCTATCGCTCATCTCACTAAGTCAGGAGCGTAGCATTTACAGAGCAACTCGACAGAGCGGCTGGCCGCCAAGGGCCAGGCCGCAAGCTCCTGTGTGAACCCCGCTCCCCTGCGAAGAGCCGCCGGCTCCAGGCCTCGTCAGAAGGTGCTGGTGGAGGTGGTCAGACGCCGCCCGATGTAGATCCTGAGCAGAAAAGTGACAGGCGGTGAAGGCGGGCCCAGGACCCCTCGGCCCCGGCAGGCGCACAGGTGCCTGGGGTTCCCGCCACGTGGGCCCCGCCGGGCCGCCCCTGATGCAGCACCCTCTGCTGTTCCATGGGCCCGACAGCGGCCGGCTGCACAAAGTCACCGCTCACGGTGATGGCCTGTGTCCCAGAGGCCAGGACGGAGGAGGGAGGGGCCCCTCCCGGGAAGGAGACACGTGGAGGAGCCGGCAGGAGGCACACAGGGCAGCTGCCAGGCGGGAGCTGGCTGCAGACCCCTGCCCTCAACTGAAGGCTCTGCCCCCATAGAACCCGAGGCGCTGGTTCTGGAGAAGCACCAGAAGTCGCTGTGGTCAGCTCCCTGGGTGCGGACGACCCTATGAAGCCTCAGCCACAGTCAGCCCGACACGGACATCAAGGAGCCCCCGGGAAGCTTTTCCCGTGTCGGTTGGAGCTGTGGGCTGGGTTCAGAGGTCAGGGAAAGCAGCCCCATTCCCACCTCCCGCCAAGTGGCGCCCGCCTCGGGCCGCAGCTGCCTTGCCCAGTGAGCTGCCGCCACAGGACACTGTCTTGCAGGAAGGATGTGCGAGGCCACGTGCCCCTCCCCCCCCGACCCGAAGCTGGCGGCACCGGGGCAAAGAGCAGCCCCGGCTCCCGCAGGCTCGGGCCAGGGTGCCGCAGCGTCGTCCAGGCCAAAGGCTCCTAGTTAGGACCCACAGCTGAACCGGTGTTTTCTGCGTTGTTATTGTGAGAAGCCAGAGAAACAAGAGCCTCACTGTCCTGCAGAAGGACCTCCAGGAGGCGTAGTGATGGCACCTCTCTGCTCACCACAGCACTGAGAGGGACCTGTCACCTGCACATAGCACAGGCAAGCAACCAGCACGAGTCCCCACACGTGCCCTCACCTGGGCAGGCAGCGTCTGTGCCGAGCTGGCCCGCGGGGTCAAGGTCATGTTTGTTTCCTGACCTGGACAGTGGCCACGTGGACGTGTTTTCCTCCACGCTGTTACACAAGCTACGACTTACGACCTACTGCTTCAGCAAAGCGTTTAAGGCGGAGTCCCCGAGACCCAGGCTGTCCAGGCAGGCCACTCACCCCAGCCCGATGGCCAGCAGGTGCGACAGCAGCAGAGATGGCAGGAAGACTTTGAGGAACTCGGCCGAGAAGACGCCCCCCTTCTTCATGACGCTCGTGTTCCTCATGCTGAGCGTGGCCGTGCGCTTCGGGTGTCGGAACAGGAACTCCCTGCGGAGGGAGGAGCCGTGAGCTCGCGGCCCGCGCCCCGTCCCCAGGCTTCCCCGGCGCGCAGAGCACTCACTTGGGGGGGATGTTTTCCGGCCGACTCGACCAGTCCCATATCCAGTCTGAGTTTTTCTTCAGGATGCTCTCGACTTCGCGCCTTCTCTCGATGTCGTCTTCCTCAGACTAAGGGAAGGGGGCGTTACAAGTACATGGGCCATCACGCCCACAGCAGGAGCACCGCCCACCTGCCGTCGGGCCGCGGGCCAAGCGAGGGGCAGTACTCGGGGCCAGAGGCCAAGGCCACACTCCGGGGCCAGGCAGGCAGGCCGGACCAACCGACCGACCACTGTGTGCAAGTTCCAACTGTGAGACCCTGCAAACGCTGCCCCTGGGGAGGGTCGCAGGGGGCGGACAGAGACGTCCACACAGGCGCTCCGGCCGGAGAGGGGAGGCGAAAGCCCAGGCCGGGCGGCGGCTCAGTGTCAGGGCCGCAGGACGCAGGACGCAAGGGGAAGGCCCCGCTCACAGGCCTGTGAGTCCAGCTGCGTGCAAAAAGCACGTGGCACAGACAGCACACCAACTGAAAGGGGTTCTACAATGAAAGCGTGTAGGTGCTTTTGCACTTCAAAATTCTGTACCCGAGCATAAAATTCCTTTCTAAACTCGGAGGTGGGGGGAATGTCTAACATTTTAGAATCGCCCCAGAACAGCACCATGCACCCCACTGCAGAACATAGGCTGCAAGCCGGCCAGGCACCCCTGCTGGGCCCGGGCGCTGGGGTGTTGGACACAGCCCGGGGCACAGGCCGTCCTCCCTCCCCCTTTCTGCAGGAGGCCACCAGGGAGGGAGGGAGCCGCCCCCGGGGCATTTCCTGTACGCCCCGGCCCTGCAGCTGAGGGCCATCGCCCTGCACTTGAGCTCAAGCCAAACTGGGTGCCTGGCACGCGGGACCGGGCCAGGGTGAAGTGCCAGCCTGCTCAGCGCCTGACTCAACGGCACCCAAGCACCAGTGAGCACGGCTGGAGAGGAGTCCCTGGAGGCGGCCGCAGCGCCCACCGCGAGAGGCCTGCCAGCGTCCTGACCACAACAGCCAAGGGGCCCTGAGCGGCCTGTAGAAGAGGCCGGCTCTCCTGCAGACATGGAATCCCAGCCCACTCAAGGCCCGACCTGTGGCCAAGAAGACAGCGACCACCCACTGAGGACCCCCAGCCCCCCTCACACCTTCGCCAGGGCACAGCCCCGTCGGGCCGGCCCTGGGTCCGACCTGAGCCCGCGCTGCCTCTGCCCAGCTCCGCGCTGGCCCGCGCGGGAGGTGCCCTCCCCCGACACGTTCCAAACAAAGGCAAGGGGCGCCCTCCATGCCGGACCCCTCTCCACTGGGCCTCTGGGCGGAATGGCTGCCGGTGCGACCGCCCCACCCCCCGCCGCGGCCAGCCTACCTGAGAGCTGTTCTTCTCGCCGGTGCTGTGGCTGTCCGTCTCAAACGCTCGGTTCGTGTCTTGAGGGGTCTGAGAGCGAGGCGGGCTAAGGACGACAGGAACAAGGCGGGCGGCGGGCGCGTTGACGTCCCCTCCACCGGGAGAGGCAAAGCCCCACGGGCAGGGGGCCATCCAGGGAGGAGTGGCTTCCCTCCCCCCAGCACCAGGCCAGCACCACACCCATCCCCCACCTTTGCAGCTGAGCTCAAAAAGCACCAAGTGGTCAGTCCCAGAGGGACAGGGGTGGCCGGAGAGCAGTGGGCTTTGTCACCTCCTGGCTCTGCAGTCTTGCACAGCCCTCCAGAGCACCTGCCCTTTGAGCTCCGCCTCAGCCCTGCCGCCTCGAGTCACTGGCTGTGCCGAGGACAACAGCGCATGACAAAGCTACTCAACGTGACAGAGTAGAAGCCAGAGTGGAAGCCGGGATTTTGGGGGGGGGCGGGAGACAGGAGAGCGCCTGCCCCTGGCTGCCTCACGGCCCCCACAGCAGAGCCTCCTCGCTGCCGGTGCGGCGGCGCATGTCCGCACCCACCTGTCGCAGTGAGAGCTCTTGGAGCTGCTCCGTCCGGACTCATGCTGAGCATCCAGCAGGATCTTCTCCATGTCTCCATTACAGAGGGAGACCGAGGCGGGCACGGTGCTGCCATTCCCGTTGCTGCTGAAGTGCAGCTCTACCCAGGAGCCTGAGGGGCAGGGCAAAGGCAGCGTTGGGATGTCCACCCACTTTGCCACCCAGTCCTAGCAGACAACCCGCCCCTCCCCCCACTCCTGAGAGGGGCTGGGGACACATGGGAGCCCTGGCCTCGAGCCACACCCACTCCTGGCTCCTGCAGTTGCAGCGACGGGCAGGGCCCCGCCGCCCTCCCCAGCGCAGTGGCAGCCCCGGAGCCAGGATGCGCCTGCCGCCAGCGGGGCCCAGACCTGAGTGCCTGAAGTGTCGCTTATTTAGAGAGGACGGAGGAGGGAGAAAGGGCGAGGAACGCTGATAAGGCAGGACCTCGATCGATTGCCTCCCGCACACGCCCTGACCAGCTCAGGGCCGAGCACCGGGCGATGGCAGCACCCAGCACGGAGGCGGTCTCAGTGGACCCGTGGGCCAGCGAGGCATGGCCGGGCGCAGCTGTTGTGGTTCCTGGTGCGCACCCAGGCACCAGCAGGCGGGAGAACTGAGAGACGGCCACGCCCCCCGAGGAACAACCACGAGCCTGACCATGCTGACCACGCGCCGCTGGGAGAAGTCACTCGGGGTGAGGGCGGGTGGCCGGGGCCCCACAGAAACTCCAGGCTTCGCACCGAGCACGTGTGGGTCCCCCCACGGGGCCGCTGCACGGCCGTGCCCTCAGCCGCCCACGGCGACATGCGTGGCTTCTTGCACCCAGCACGAGCAGCTCTGAAGGACACTCCCTCCACATCACGGTATCCCTGCTAGAGGCACACGCAGCGGATCCCTGGGCAGGGAGGCGGCGACATGCGCCAGGGTCCCCAGAACCGCACGCTCCCCGGCACCTCGCACCCAGCCCCTCCTGTTTTTAACACGTGGCCATGGGGGGGGCGGGGCGGGGTTCATGCGCATCCCTCCGGTTTGTAACAAGGTTGAATGTGTTTGCAGGGTTACTGTCTTTTCAATTAGCCGTTCAAAACGCTGGCTCCTGGGCTCCTCCCGATCTGCGTGCAGTGAGCCAGGCGTAATCTGCAGGTGCAGCCTGACCCACCGCCCGGGCCCTGTTTTTCTGTTGCCTGACAGCGGCCTCTGCGTCCCCCTCAGCTCGGGGCTGCTTCCTGTCAGCCACCCGGCTGGCGGCGCCCACGGGCCTCCGGCTCACCTGTCCCCGTGCAGCAGGCGGAGGACGGGCGCAGCAGGGACAGGGCAGAGGCAGGCGGCAGAGGGCTCTGAAACGGCTCCCTTCTAGGCAGACACCACAGGCTCATCCCCCGGCCGCTGACGGAGGCGAGGGTCTGAGCAGTCGCCTGGCCCAGCCCACCCCAACAGCCTCCCTCGAGTAGACCAGAAAAAAGCCACCCAAGGCCGGGGTGCGAGCGAGAGCCGGCGAGGCCACCACTCGGGCCTCCCCACGCGCACCCGCCTTGCCAGCCCCTCCCGCTGACGCCCATCTGACCCGTCACCATGAAAACCTGGGCCTCAGGGTCTTCCCTTCACCAGCCCTTCTTCCCTCCCCGGGACTCAAGGTGACACTCAGCCAACGAGGAGCCAGCGCTGGCCCCGGGGCACAGACGGCACCACGGCCCACGCTGGGCACAGTGCCATTTTCCTAAGTTCAGCCAGTTGTTCGGATTCGGGGCCTGGCTCAACTTCCTGGAAGTGGCCGAAGTGCTGCCGGGATCACGTAAGGCGTCTGATGTAGACGGAGCCTGAGGCACGCAGTATCTTTCCGATGCCATTTCTGACACATGTTGGGGCTTCCACACCAACGGCCGACTCTCCAGCCCCGCTGGCCGTCCAGCAGTCCAGTTCACTGTTGCCAGTCTCTGGAACTGGTGTCAGGGCCCAGAGCTTAACGGGCTCGGTCCCACGGGGCTGCCCGGCATCAAGCGCTGGGCACAGGCAGGATTTCCCGGCCACCCGCACTCCTGAGACCACAAATGCAGGGCTTCCTTCAACAGCCCCTCGCTCCCCAGAACCACCGACAGAGCTCAGGAGCGCCCCTCGCTCACATCTCCCGCTTCCTAGGAAGGACGCAACTCAGGAGCCAAGTGCAGGAGGGGCTCTGCCCCCCCCTCCCCCCGCCTGCAGCTCAGAGGTTTCATAACCCGCAGGGGGCGGAGCTTAGCTGCCACCCCTTCATCAGGGTGTCTCCCCACCAACTGCAGACACTCCCACGGTTGAAGAAACGCCAGGGGTCCTGCGGCTCTGTGCTGGCAACCAGACACCACCAAATAAAAACTTCTAAGTGAAACGTAATTGGCAGCTTACGTCACATCAGACTCAGGTGAGCATGTGCTTTTTATATCTCCGGAACCACGAGTCCACGGAGACGAGTATGTGCTTTTTACAATCATCTCAGATAAAGTCCTAAACGGCCTTGGGGGGGGGGGGGGGGGGGGCGTCTGCACGGCCCATAGCAGAAGATTTAGGTCCAAAATCTGTATCGCAAGGAATGATTCGGGGAAGGACCAGCTTTTTTTAGTTAACCCACAACAACTGGGTAGGACACCGCCTCCCCGGGAACTGAGCGCGCGCACGTCCGCAGAAAGGGCATTACGCAGCTTCGCGTCCTTAGAGGCACAGGTAACCCAGCCGTAGACGGCAAACCAGGTCTCAGGGACAAGCAGGTGCTGCCCAGCAAGCCCTGCCGCGGGCCCTTCCCACAGCTGCTGGCCCCGCGCGCCAGCCACACGGCGACCACGACCGACCCTCCTCCTAACCCGGCTCAGGAGCCCGGGTGCCACCAGCTCCGGCCTCTCCCGAGACAGCCCCCCGCGGCTGCGCGTCCACGGAGAAAAGGGCCGGCAGAGCGCCGGGCCAGCCAGCAGGTCTCAGTGCGGTTCGGCGGGGGGAGGTGCAGCAGGGAGGGCGCATGTGGTCCCGTGGGTAGAGGGGGCGGGCGGGGCGCTGTCCGTGGGCTGGGCCAGACGTAAACAAGAGGGCCACGCGGAGGCCAGGAGCGCCACGGGCTCACGTTTCCAGGGCAGCTGCACGCCGGGCTCCTCCCCAGCCCGAGCCGCGAGTGCTGGGCCGCACGTCCGCACGAGGGGCGCCCAGGGCGCTCCCACGCCCCGCTGTGGAAGGAGCGCGACGCACACACCGCCCTTTCCACGCGGAATTTCGCATTGCCAGTGACTCAGCAGTTCGGTGTCCATCGGCGAGGGGGCCCCGATCCCCCCGGGAGTCCCCGGAACCTTCCAGACTCGATTCGAGCCCAGCAGTGAAGCGCAGCGCCAGCGACCAAGCAGCCTAGGGCCTCCGGGAGGGGGCGATTTGAAGGCGCAGAGTCTATAAAACGCCCCCGCGGGCCTCATGAGGAAAGAGCAGGAGCAACGCCTCAATAGAGTGGCAGCAAAACAAGGAGCCCCCCTCCCGACCCAGGAGCCAACAGAACTTCCCACGCACGGCCGCAGTCCCTAGCACTGCGACCCGGCCCGGCGCCTCCGCCCGAACACCGCGCGCCCTAAAAACTCCCCCGGGGGGTCTGAACCGCCCCCCGCGCTCCGCCGTGGAACGACCGTCTAGCGCACGCGCGCCGCGCATTCAAGGAAGCCCGTCCACGGCCCTGGGCCACTTCTTCCAACGCTGTCCACCGCTCCCACAGGGAAGAGCGGCCCGTGGCCCGGCGGCGTCTTTCCTCCTCCCCCGGCCCAGACCGCCGCTACGGATCGGGCCGCTCCCAGTCTGCATTTAGAGCCCTCGCGACCCAGCCAGACACCTGGCTACTGCGCCTACAATCCACGCCGCCCCGAAATGCGGAGCACGGCCGCGCCTGGGAGGCGCAGAGCTCGGACTGAGAGCTGGGGGTATCCAGTCCGCGGCCAGACCCCCACCGGGGAGCTACGCCCGCGGGCGGAGCCGCGGCACCCAGCGCCGACCCGGCCACGGGCAGCAAGAGGGCCCGTGCCCGCCGCGCAGGCGCAGCCTCGGCTCCCGCGCCATGTCGGGGCCCGGCCTCCCCCGCGGGCTCCCCTCAGCCTCCGCGGCCCCGGCAGCTCACCGTGCAGGCTCTCGTCCTGCAGTGCGGGGGTCCCGCTCTGCGACATGGCGCCGAGGGAGGGCGCGGTGGCGGGCCGGCGGGCCGGGCTCGGAGCCGGCGTCCGGGCCGGGGCTGCCTAAGTGTCGGGCGCTTGGAAGAGGACGGACGGGAGCAGAGGCACAAGCGCGGGGCCGAGCGAGTCCGGCAACGTCAGCCCACGGCCCCGACTGACTGACGCGCGCTGGCGGACGCACGGCAGATAAGCGGCGGCTGAGGGGCGGCGTCGCCCATTGGCCAAGGGCGGAGGCCTGGGCGTGCGCGGGGGCGTGGGGCGCGTGCGGCGCGTGCAGCGCGTGCGCGGGGTGGGCCCAAGGCGTCGGCTGGGGCTCGGGGTGCGCGTGCGCAATTGCGCTGTTGGACGCGAGTTGCTCGTGCTTGGGGCGGGGTCTGACGAGCAGGGCTCGCCTAGGGAGGGGCGGGGCGGGGCGGTGTCCTGGGGTGAAGGGCGGGGCCTGAGGCGAGGGCGAGGCCCAGCCGCGGGGGGCGGGCGCCGGCGGTGGGACTGGGTCCCTGGCGACCGAGCCGCCGGGGCTCCCTGCGGGCCGTGCGGCGGCGGGCGTGTCCTGTGGGGAGACGTGCGCGGCCGCGAAGACGTGCTCGCGGGGCCCTGTTGCCCGAGGGCTTACTGGTCTCACTCCGGCACGGTCGGCCGGGAAGGAAAGGGTCCCGGAGGCTTTGCTGGCGGCGTGCTGGGAAGCAGAGCGGCCCGGCCTCGTGCGACGGCAGCTGCGACACAGTCCGCGGCCGCCGGCCCGGGCGGCCTGCTGCTGTCAGTCAGACCCGCAGCGGCTGGCCCAGCGTGTCTGGCAGCGGAAGCCCCACCGCAGCCCCTGGACCGGCAGCCGCCTCTGTGCCCGCCCTGGGGTCCTCGTTCCCAGTCTGGACGAGGACGCTCCCGGCAGGGGGCAGGCGCTGCGCCTGCCTTCCGGATGCCGGGGGTTGCTGGCCTTTCCCTCCTCTGGACCCTTAGTTCTCGTTCTCATTTGTTCCACAAGTTTGTACCGGGCACCACCCCTGTGTCCGCAGCGTTCAGGTGGGGACCGCGGGGGACACAGGCGGCAAGGCCCCGCACAGAGGCCCACACCGCACACCCGTCCTCCCCACGCCGGTCCCAGCCCCTCGGACCCCTTGCCTGGGGAAGCTGCCGGCGCCCAGTGCCCCCCCACCCACAAACGCGCGTGCAGGGAGCGTCTCCATTAGCTCGGAGCGTGCTGGTGTCCCGGCGCTGTGGCCGAGCACACGGGGCCTGCGCACGTGTGTCAGACGCGTCCCTGAGGACCCCTGTGTTGGTGTTACTGTCGTCACCACCGCCGTTGCATTTCACTGCCTCGGTCATTGCCACTACGTAGAACCATAACTGACTGTCGCGTGTGGTGTCGCACTGCGACCTGCTAAGCTCACCGAAACGTCAACTTTAGAAGCCCCCCGAGTCTCTGCGGGCGATTGTCCAGACGTGTTTCAGTGAAAACGTCTCCGTCTGCAGCCCGGTGTTCCCACCCAGACGGGACCTTCTACAAGCTGTGGGTGAAAAGGAAGGTCCATGGGAAGCCCGCTCTCAGCGCCACCCGACGGTAGATTCCTGACCGGGCAGGTCCCGGTGGGTGGTGGCGCCCCAGCGTCCAACCGCGTCACTCGAGGCCCAGCTCTGCGCTCCGCAGGCCCCACATCCTGCTCCCATGCGCCGCGACGGATGCTCAGTCTGCAGCAGACGGGAGCGCACCCCCTTCACCGGCCTGCGGCCCCAGTCCCGCCCGGCTTCCTCCCGCCTCCCTGCGTCTTCCTTAGTCCCCAGCTTAATCTAAAATGCAGGGAAAACCCCTGCCACATTGTCATTCTCTGAAGCATGTTTCAGTCTGTTGCGATCTTGCTTCCAGGTGTATCCTCTCTTGGGCTCAAATAAACTTTTTAAACAATTCTCAACAGGTGTGGACATTCTTACACGAGCAAGTCCCAGCAACTTCTATCATTCGAGGACCCCAAGTGAGCTGAGGCCACTGGAAACCTGCCTTGTACCCAGGAGAGGTTAGAGCAGAGAGGGGCGCAGGCGGCCCCCGGGAAGGCCAAGGGACCCCAGGCAGAGTTGGGGACCCAAGTGAGAAGTGGGGGAGAAAACCCGGTGACTTGAAAGTTATAAAAAATAAAGTTTATGAAAAACAATATACTCAGTTCTACTCATGAAAATGTATAGCACAAAGTGCACTTCAAGAAAAGGTATAAAGTTGTCAACATAAGAAACATCCAAACGTATGAGACTTTTTATGACTATTTGAGCCAAACTGACGATAATTGACAGGAAGCAAAATCTCAATGGATTGAGAAAATGTTCCAGAAAATGGCAGTTTTGCACCTTATTTTATACGTTACACTCAAAAGAAGAGGCGGAACGGGTTCCGTGAAATCCATTGGTGACAGATTAGGGAGGCGGGGGAAGCAAAGTGGGGAAACCTCTGGGATTGGATAGGCACACGCTTCCTCCACACAGGTGTGCACTTGGTAGTTAACAGTCAACCTTTAACACGTGGTAACGATAACAAACTCGCGGTCCCAGCTCTGGTGCGCTTGCTGTGCCCGAGGTTTCTGGAAAAAGGGAAGTTACCTCTGATTTTGCAAAGATACATTATCTTAGATGCAAAAAGACCATAGGCTCAACGAAGATAAAGACTGACTGTTGTCAGGGAAGAGCCGAGCCTTTGTCCGCCACAACCAGCTATTGGTTAGGAAGGCTGAGTTTCAGGCCCTCCTGGGTGGCCGCCTGAGGCCTCTGAGTGTGCGAGGCCGCCCAGCAGACCTCTCCTGAGCTGGTCGGGTTTAGTATGTGGCCCCTTTTTTCCACAAAATAAATGAACTGGGTCCTTTAGGAAGCTGGGAAAAAACCCTACATAAAAGAAATTAATAAAGTTAACATTTTTATAAAATAATAATAAAGTAAAATGGATGAGTTAGAAGACATTTGTCTTCATTAAGTTCAGGTTCTTTTAATTAACTGTGAAACCAGAAAACCCAGCGTTCCCGCTGCCTGTCCCCTACCAGGCCCGGCAGGCAGAGGTGGGGGTTGGACCTTTACAGGCGCTTTACTCGGATGGTCTGAGAAGACAGCGGGTTTGCGCCCAGACTGTCTTGAATTCCATTTTAAAATGACCCTTTTTATCAGGAGAAGAAAAGTGTAGGGAAGGGGTTTGGAATTCAGGGGAAAAGTTAATCAGATAAAAGCTGCAGGGTTCCTTCCTCTGTGCCCTGGGAGGTGGTCTTTGTCTGAGTCCTGGGAGTCCCGGGTGGGGGTCCTCCCCGGGGCACACGGGTGGGACTGCACCTGATCCCCTGGAGTCAGGGTGGGTCAGACCCTGCGTTCCTGGGAAAACAGCTTTTTACGTGCATTGATTACTGAGTGTATTAGCTATTACCTGAAACTAAAATTCACCAACATTTGAGTCCCCCATCAAATTTGAATTTTTAGTGATGAATGACATTTTGAGTCCTAAATGAGATTATTATAAATTCAAAAGAAATTTTAAAACATGATACAAACATCATATATGCATTTGTAGTTTAAAAAACCTAAATATGTAAATTACCAAAGCGGATGCCTAAGGAGGGACGGACGCTCCTAAGGAGGCGGAAGGTCCGGGCTCTCCCCGGCGTGAGAGCAAGGACGTCCCGGGGACCTCCAGGCTGAGGAGGTCACACAGTGACACGCGGCCAGTTCTCTCCCTGAGGTCGCTACCACCCTGAGGTTAGCAAGCACCAGATCACGACACCCTGGTGAGAGAGAAAACAGTGGGCCCAAGATAATTTAATACGCCTTTGTAACATAAAGCCCCCCAAACGCAGACTTCGCAGGCTGGAAAAGGCCGGAGGAGGCGGGGAGGGTCCTGTGTTTATTCGTCAGCACACAGAGGATACCCATTAACCCCGCCCGCTCCACACTCCGCACCGGCCTTCCCCGCTGGTCCAGGCAACCATCCACACGTTGGGGCAGGACGGGGCGGGGCGGGGCGGGGCGGGCAGGGAAGCCCGCCCCTCACCCCCTCCCAGCCCCGAGGGGCTGCACAGCCGCAGAGCCCAGCCCACCGGGACCCCTGTGTGTCTCGCTCACCCAGGGGTTGCCCACGGGCCGGTTGTGCCCAGACCCGGCTGCCGCGGTTCTGCAGCTGCCCTTGGTCCCCGCCTCGGTCTCAAGGCTCGTGCCGGGCCTCCCTCTTGGCGGCTCTGTGAGCCGCCCGTCCCCTCAGTAAATCCCTCCTCTGCTGCCCTCAGCCCAGCTGGGTTCCACAGCGCCCACGGCCACGGCCCCTCCGGGCCAAGGCGCTGCACCTGAGCCTGCAGTGAACACCACTCCCCACAGCGAAATGTCAGGCACGTCCCCTAAGTCGGCAGCGGTCCAGGTGCCTGACACCAGCCCCGGCTTGGGGGTCTGAGGCAACACAATAGAGTATGAAAATTTGGAAACCGACAAGGAAGAGGCCAGCCTGCCGTACTGACCCCCGCCTCCCCTCCCAGGCGGCTCCAGAGCGCAGGCCGGCCGTGCGGCGAGTGTTCAGGCAGCAGCTGTTCATTACGTCGTTGAACTGAAAATTTAAAAAAAAAAAAGAAATGTTTACCCAGAGAATTCCAGACCACCAGTGGAGACAGTCCTTGAGCGAGAAGGAATTTACGAGAAGCCGTGAGGAGGCAGCACGGTGCCGGCAAGGCCAGCCCCGGCGTGGGCAGCGTCTGGTTCCCAACGGCAGCAACAGAAACGTCTCAGAGCAAACTTGACAAGAAGTGTTCAAGACACAGAAAATGTTTATGTTTTGCTGGAAGCTACAAAAAGACAGTATTAACGATAGTAAAAACACAGCATGTTTATTGTCAAAGAGAAACCACAGGCCCAAAACCTTGACCCTCCGGCCAGAGCCCCCAGCAGTGAACCTGGGTTTAACCCCAGATGGGTCGGCAGCTTCCACTCTCCCAGAGCCGCGTGCCAGTCGGGAAGGTCACCGGTCACATGGGCTGTCTCCGTCCCCCGCCGCAGGACAAAACCCTCCCCTTTCCTGTCCCCCAAAGCAAAGGTGTCCTGGCCCAAAGTAATCCTTCCTTTACACACATCTCGAAATCCGTCATTCTACTTTTCGATGCGTTCATCGATGAGTTGATGCTTGTATGTGCCCTGACGGGCCGGGGGTGATCGAACCCTGAACCTGGGGTACCAGGAAGGTGC